CCTCCTGTATGAGCCTGGGTCCACAGTGTTTCACCCAAAACTAGGGTTCAGTGCAGTTGGAACTGGGGATAAGTGCAGTCAGGGATTTCCTTCCCTCTCCTACCAGAGAACGATATCTAGGCACTCAGCCGCCCTTCCTCTTTGCGTGCATGTCTCCGTACCTCAGTCCTTTGCAGTTATTCTGACTCTCCATGTGCTTTACTCTTTCCTTCTAGTTGTAGAATTTCCACTCAGCCAGTTTTCCTGTGGTTCTGGATGCTGTCCTTTCTGTTTTTAATTGTAGTTTTGAAATTGTTGTGCAAGGCAGCAGTTTAGGTGTTTACCTATGCTACCATCTTGATTTCTTCCCTGATGAAGTTCTTCATTGCCCGTTTTTTTTTTATTTTTTTTATTGGATCATTTATCTTCCTTTTTTAAAAAAAAAAATATTTTATTGATTTTTTTACAGAGAGGAAGAGAGAGGGATAGAGAGTTGGAAACATCGATGAGGGAGAAACATCGATCAGTTGCCTCTTGCACACCCCCCACTGGGGATGTGCCCCAACCAAGGACCTTGACCAAAATCAAACCCAGGACCTTTCAGTCTGCAGGCCAATGCTCTATCCACTAAGCCAAACCGGTCCCGGCCATTTATCTTCCTTTTATTAAGTTGTATAAATTCCCTGTAGATGTTGGAAATTAAACCTTTATCAGTGATAACATTTGCAAATATGTTCTCCCATACAGTGGACTTTCTTGTTGTTTTGTTGATTGTTTCTTTTGCTGTGAAAAAGCTTTTTATTTTGATGTAGTCCCATTTGTTTATTTTCTCTTTAGCTTCCATTGCCCTAGGAGCAGTATCAATGAAGAAGTTCTTTCGGCATATGTCTAAGATTTTGCTGCTTGTGGATTCCTCAGGTATTTTTATGGTTTCCTGTATTATGTTTAAGTCCTGTATCCATTTTGAGCTTATTTTTGTGTGTAGTGTAAGTTGGTGGTGTTTCATTTCTTTATCAACCACTGTAAAAAAAATAATTGACAGTTTGGTATTTTTATTTTTGTTTGGTTTCATTTCTCCATTGACAAAGTTTTCGGTTACTCACATTTTTGTATTATAAATAAGTCTTAGCTAGTCCTCACAGTGGTCTGTACAGTGATGAGAAAACATGGTGTTGGTCTTAAAATAGTTAGCATTTTGCCGAAACCTGTTTGGCTCAGTGGTAGAGCGTCGGTCTGCAGACTGAGAGGTCCCAGGTTCGATTCCGGTCAAGGGCATGTACATTGGTTGCGGGCACATCCCCGGTGGGGGTGTGCAGAAGGCGGCTGGTTGATGTTTCTCTCTCATTGATGTTTCTGGCTCTCTGTCCCTCTCTCCTCCTCTCTGTAAAAAAATCAATAAACTATATTTAAAAAAATAGTTAGCATTTATTCTAGGTAATGATTTGCCGCAATAGTTGGTTTCTTGTTTTGAAACACAACTACATTAGGAGGGAAAAAGAGGTCGAGGACCCTCTTTGAGGGCACAGAGTTGAACCCACATTTCTTATGAACAAAGACAAGTGCTTAGGTACAAAATAACATCAGTTATTTGTACAATATTCTTATGAATCTACACACATTTTAAATATATTTAAATATTTTGTATTTCTCAATAAAGTCTTCTTATGTTTAACTAGAAGCCTAGTGCATGAAATTCATGTACTGGTGGGCTCCCTCATGGCTGCTGGCTGCTGGCTGGGTACTCCCTCCCTGCCCCTGGCTACCTGCCACCACCAACGGCTGGGTCCTCCTGTCACCACCGCCAGTCAGGGCCTCCTTGCCTTCCCCTGGATGGCCCCACACCCTGATTGAACTCCCAGATGAACTCCTGGTTGAGGGGACAATTTGTATACTGCACTTTTATTATATAGGATTTTATTTTTAATGTTTCTCTTTTCTTTTTAACCATAAGAGACATTTATTGGGTAAATTACAGAGGTAGAAAAAGTAATCCTAGAAAAAATGGGCATAGCAAACAAGTTCTAGAGGTAAAGGAAGGGCCCTTGGAGCTTGGGAGTGAGAAAGCTAATAGTAATGTGGCGGCCCTGATGGGGGTGGTTTAGGGGAGGGAAAGGCATAGGCATGCTCCTGGGAGAGAGAGCACTCTATTTTATTTTTCATTATTTTACCTTTTTTATGGAAAAATTGCCTTATGGTTAGTTATATGGCAAAAACATTTGTGGCAAAAATTCTTGCAGCAAAGATGATACAATCAAGGTCCCTAGAACCTCCCAGAACATCACTGCTTTTTGAAGACCTTGTTCTTCCCTCTTTCTATTCCTAATGTCCAGCAGTCATTAGAGTATAGTGGTGCCAGAGTGAAGATTTCTCAGAAGCTTCCCTTATCATCTATAGAACTTGCATGGCTTTGCTTATTGTCCAGTTGTGGTCTCAATACTCACAGCCTAGACACCTGATAAAAGTGGTGAGGTTTTAGTTCCAAGACTTGCCCATGCAATAATAGTTCACATAAGTTATCTTCTTTCTGATATCTGTGAGCTCTTTCTCAACCCTTGGAGGCTCCTGAGACATCAAATGTCCCTGGTCGGATCCTGTACTTTTCACTGTCCACTTATTCTCATTCCCAATGAGAATAACTGGACAGTGAAACTAAACAACAAATACTTTCAAGCTGACCTGTACCTTTTGCAGCAAGTTGACAGTTCTAATCTGCTTGGATTGATTGAGTCATTGTCATTTCCTAAGAGCTGGATAGAGGGGCACTTGTGAAGGAGCTCACTCTGAAACTCATCTGATGTAGAAACTCCATACACGGAGAAAAAAAAAAACTGACCACAGAATGTTCCTTCCGAACTGACGCCAAGCCCATATCCCCCTCATTGCCTCTTCTCCCCATTCCCCTTGATCACCTTCAGAGCCGGGGAGAAGCAGGAGGTGTGGCCAAAGAGGGTGAAAATTAGTTACTGAAGACTTCACTGTGCTTCTCCTTTCACTCTCAGATGCTGCCAGGGTCTCTGAAGAGAGAAGACACCAGGAAATAGGTAAAAATTATTTTTGTTTTGGTGGCTTGTGATTTTTTTGCTTTCAACAACCAAGATGGAGCAGTTACTGTATTCCAGGCACAGTTCTTGGGATTGGTAGTACAATGGAGACCCCCCCTCTCTCTTGTGTGTTATAGCAAGTTGTAGAGGCCTATTTTTGAGCATCTCCCTTGCTGGGCTTGGTGAGCCTCCTGAGAATAGAATGGTGACTGGATGTCCAACAGGGAAGAATGAACTCAGGGAGGCTGACTCTGAGGTCCTGAACAGTGTAGCCTTTTCCTGAGTCTTTGTGCCTATTGCCTACTGTCTGTAGCCTCCACGCTCTGCCATGCTTTAGCAGCCTTTCAATTCCAGGCCTGGAGCCCACTTCTTGTGTCCCGGAGACTTTCTGGAGCTCCTTCAGGTAAGCACACAGCCCCTCTCCCATTTACCTTGGGATTATTAAGCCAGTTCTCAATGAGAGGGTGGATGCTGGCTGCTGGCGCAGTGGCCCAGCTGCTAAAGGCTAGTCTGCATGGAATCTGGCCCTTGCCATGGACCTTGTGGAAACTCCCAGGGGATCAAAAGCACATTTCTAAAACACTGACCCTGCCAAGTTTTTCGTGAAAAATGTAAAGTAGTCCCTATGACTAAAGAAGTATGTACCCTAACTCCATGTGGGAGACGTATGTCACTCTCCCCTCCCCTTCTCACGCCCACTCCCATAAATTGAAGCGTTTGAAAGTCCTGCAGTAAAGAGTCTTATTTAACTTTTTAAACCCAGCTTCTCTCAAATGGATGTGACCTTGAAGACGTGTGTGTGTGTGTGTGTGTGTGTGTGTGTGTGTGTGTAACACTATTAGTGCCTTCCCCTATCCCTGCCTGGGCCAAGCCAGCACAGTCACTACACCTGGGGACAGACCTCTTCATGTTTTCAGCAAGCAGCTTAGCTTTTCCCACACTAGGTACTGGATACCCAACAGCCTTTGGCAGAAGACACATAGCTGGAGGTTGGGGGGTGGGGCAGACACTGATGTGTGGGAAATGTTGTCTCGGTGGGTGGGAGGGGCACAGATCTGTGCTGAGAAAGGAGACACACTCTGTGGACACATCCTGCCTGACTCCCCAGGGATGGCATTGAGGACACCGCCATGCAAATTAAGACTTAAATTTAACTTTATGTAAATGTAACTTTGTAAAAAATATAGTGAGGTGGTGGCCAGCTCACTGGAAAGAAGTAGAGAGATAGAAAGAGGGAGAGAGAGAAAGAGAAGTTGAACACTTGCAGTCTTTGGGCTGTCTGTGGTGCACAGACAGGCTGCTTGTTTATGTTGTGTGTGTTTTTAAAGCAGGATATTTCACATGGCAATTTGGCTTCTCTTGAAACAGTGAAGATCAGGCGGTGCTGAGACCACATTCCCACTTGGCCACAATTGGCTAGACCCAGGATCACCTGGTTGATTTATGTTTCCTACAGCCCCTGGAGCATCGGAGAGGAACCCCTGGACTTCTAAGTCTTCTCAGACCCCTTTAAATGCTCTCCTAATAATATTATACTTAATTATTAGGTCATGTCTCTTCCCTATGTAAACCCTTCACTAGTTGCCCCAAAGTGAGCTCCAAGTTCCCTATAGCCTGGCACTTGCAGTGCTCAGTCATCTGGTGTTACTCAAAGCCTGAGAGCTGGGCAGGAAGTTTATACAATCATGGATGGTAGATGGAGGCATGGATGGATGAGTGGGTAGATGGATGAAAGAAAGGAAGGAGTGCTGGGAAGAGAGATTGGGAGAGGCATGGCATACCAAAGAAGCCCAATGTGCATCCAGAACCCCACATCCCTCTATGCAGTCAGACATGGGATTCCGGGATCAGAGACAAGGGATCGGAACTCAGTAGAAGAACGAGAAAAGTCGTTTAGAAGAAGTAAGTGACCAGGTGGCTCAAAGACACTTTCTTTCTGCCCCAGGCTCCCGTCCTAGGCTCCTGCCTAGACACAACACCATGCATCTCCTAGGCCCCTTGTTTCTGCTCCTCGGTAAGGACTGTGGTCTGGGCTGGTGCTTGGGTTCTGGGGTGACCGTAGAGCTGGAGGAGGAGGAAAGATGTGGCACAGAGAAGAGTAATTGTGGGGTAGGGTTTGTGTCTTGCTGTGTGTGTGTGTGTGTCTCCCTCTCTCTTCAGAGGGGGTTCTTTACTCCTTTGAAAGCTCTCCATGCCCCTCAATAATGCTTTCTGATCTTGTGGGGGGTTTCAGAATACTTAGCTTCTTCTAACTCACACCAATGGAAATTTGAGCACCCGGCCATCCTCTATGCCTGGGAGGGAGCCTGTGTCTGGATTCCCTGCCACCGTGTAATCCCAGGAATTGTCCTAGAAAACCTGACTGTGTACCAGAATTATGTATATGACGATAAGACCAAGAATTACAATGGGACAATCCTCTATGAGAAGACAAAGTCACAGGTGCATGACTCTCAGGGAAGAGTGAAATTCCTGGGAGATAAGAAATCCAACTGCACCCTTCACATCGACCCTGTAAAAGCCCAAGACAGCGGTCAGCTGGGGCTGCTGATGACAGCGAAGAATGAAAGATGGATGGAGAATATAGTCCTCAACGTCTCCAGTAAGGCCCTGGGGATGGTGTCCTTTACCTTGGGCAAGGGAAGGAGGGAAGTGGGAAACCAAAAACCAGGTGGCCTACAAAGGCCAGGCAGGGGGTGCCAATGAGTGACTCAGCAGCACAAGACAATGGTGCTTTGGCCAAACTGGAACATGCACTTCTGCCCATTCTGAAATTTGGATGCCAGGTGACCTGATTTTTCAAGAGAAAACTCTCAATTTTTAAGTAAAATCTTGCAATGTGTTAAGTTAAAATCTTGCAATGTTGGTGGTTAATTTTAACTGACCCTTCATAGCTAAATGACACATGTAGGGGCAGATGAAACAGATCTAAGGCCTTCCCCTCAGGCATGTGCTCACTCCATTTTATAGCCTGTCTTTGGTGGGGGGACTAGGCAGCTCTATGTTTGAAGTAACCCTGCCATTTGAGGGTACCTTCGCCTCAGGAGAGCCAGGATTGGCTGTCCACAGTCCTGATCTATTCGAGGAACCTCTTAAAGGAGTGCTGTTAGTGGTGCCTCCAATAGTGAGGTCATTAGACAGTGCAGTTTGTTGTCAAAACTAAGAAATGCAGGTTGAACTAAACTGGTGAAATTCACTTAGCAGTGGTGGGAGAGCGATCTTGAAGACATTTATTTATTTGTTTGTTTATTTATTGAAAACATTTAGAAAGCAAGCATTTGGGAGTGAGAATAAAATAAGTACAAAATATGACATGTAATTCCTAAGGAGGTTCACAAGACCTTTCAGAGGATGCTTTCCCTGAACAAAAGTGATTCAAAGCAGAGAAAGGCAGGCCTGGAGAGAAGTGGATGGACTAGTAAGGAGATCCCAAAAGGTTATTTGGGCCAGAGCATCTAAAGCCAGGTGTGAGGGGCTGGTACGTAGCAGTCCTCAATTTTCCAGGCTGCCACCATGGTCTCTTCTCTTTTGCAGAAACGGCTCCTCCACCTCGCATTGAGGTCCCTCCAGAAATGTGGGAGTCACAGGAAGTCACTCTGACTTGCTTGCTGAATTTTGCCTGCTTTGCACACCAGATCAAATTGCTGTGGTCCCTGCAAGGGTCACTTCAACTTTCCTCTGTCCTCTCGACTTCCCTGACCACCCAGGCTATCTTCACCCAGAGCAAGCTCACCTTCCAGCCGCTATGGACTCACCATGGCAAGAATCTGACCTGCCAGGTCTGGAATGACACAGCAGACAGTCTGCTCTCTCAGGAAACGGTGTGGCTAGATGTGAAGCGTGAGTCTCCCCAATGCTCCTATGGGAGGATGAGGGACTTGTTCTCTCCTCCCAACCCTTCAGTGAGCACCCAGGGTAGCAGAGCCTCCACAGAAGGAAGCATAATCAGTCTGTGGCCCCCAGAGCTGGGAGTGGTCCAACTGAGCTAGATTCCCTCCTCCACCATCCCTGTGGTCAGCCCTGGTATATCTGGAAACTGACTCATTTCAGCATCTTCTTATAGGAGTAGGGAACCATTTATCTGCCCAGGGCCATTTGGATATTTTTAACATCATTTGTGGGCCATACGAAATTATCAACTTAAAAATTAGCAGCTATATTTGATCATTTGATTAACTCACCCCTAATGCCTTGGCAGGGCCAGACCAAAGGATTTCATGGGCCTTATACAGCCTGTGAGATGGATGTTTCCCATCCCTGGTCAGAATAAAATATTTTAATCTATCCTTAAGCCATGACATGATCATTAGGTTAGGTTTTGTTGTTCTTCTTTGGGGAGGAGGGAGGGATTTATTTATTTATTTTTTACATTATTCATTTATTCATTCAATAGATATTTGTTGCAAACATACTAGGTGCAAGGCCTTATTACTGTTGCTGGGGAGATAGCAGTGAGCAAAATGCTTGCCCACGTGGAGCTAGCATTAGAATGGGAAAGACAAACAAAAAGAGATCAACAAGGAAATAAAGACCAAAACAGTAGGTAGTGCTAAGTGTATTAAGAACAAACTAAAGCAGAGCTTGGAAAGAGGAAGACTTCTGTGACTCAGGTGAACTTGTGCTGAGGTTTGAATGAAGGGAGGGACTGAAGCAGGCAGATATTTTTGAGAAGATTCCAGGAAAAGGAAAGAATGAGGAGAAAATTTTGAAGAAGGAACATAGTGTATCTGTGGCAAACAAGGGCCACAGAGTCCCAGCACAGTGTCTGAGGGGCCCAGTGTAGGAAAAGATGGTTGAGAGGGACCAGGGCACTTGAGCTTGTAGGCAGCAGTCAGGTTTTAGATTTTATTCTACATGTGGACTCCACAGAATGGTTTCAAGCAAGGGAGTGACAAGGTCTGATTGACAGTGTTAGGAATGCTGCTGGCTGCTGGTGGAAACCAGACCTGCAGGGACTGGGGGGTGGGAGGAACAGAAACAGGAGTTAGGAGGCTGTGATGGTTGCCAGCCCATACTTGTTGACAAGGGTAACAGTGAGGGGTTGCATCCCCCACGTGCTATACGCAGGCCACTGTTTTATCAGAAGAAGAGCCTGGAAACTTCTCGCTACTCTACACTTTCTCGCTATTCTACACTTTTGACTGCACTGTCTAATGACCTCACTGTCTCCTCCCTCACTGTCCCTCTGCTCCTCCAGACAAACCAAAGTTGGATGTCATTCCCAAAGAAATCACTGTAACAGAGGGTGATCCTGTGACCATGACGTGCCAGGTCATCAGCAGCAATCCAGAGTACCAGACTCTTTCCTGGTTCAAGGATGGAATCCTCATGAGAGAGCAGGAGACACTGCAAAGGGAGCAGAAGACTCTCAAGCTAACTCTGCCTAAAGTGACCAAACAGATGAGTGGAAAGTATCATTGTGAGGCCAACAATGATTTGGGCTCATCAGCATCAGAAGCGGTCCTCCAAGTGCTCTGTGAGCTTCCTGGGAGCTCTGAAAGGGCAGGCAGGGAGTTAGTGGGGTAGAACCAAGGCCCTTAAGAGGCCAGCTGCAGAGACCTCTGCTCAACTCCACCACTTGCTTCTTTCCCTTTTTCCAGATGCTCCAGAACCTTCCAGGGTTCAGATCTTCTCCTCGCCAGCTAAGGAGGAAAGTACAGTAAATCTGACTTGTATATCACAGGCCAATCCTCCTCCAACCAATTATACCTGGTATCACAATAACATTGAAGTACGGAGAGGAACAGATAAGACCTTTCAGATCTTACAGGTCCTCCACAAGCATGCTGGGAGTTATTTCTGTTTGGCAGAAAACAGTCTTGGTCTTGGAGGAGTTGACCAGGAAGCTGAATTGGATGTCCAATGTGAGTAGTCAGAGCCTCTGGGTCCTAGAGGGAAAAGATGGATGTGGGTGGAGGAGGAAGCAGATGAGTGTAGGGCATTCCTGGGTCCTAGGATGAACAGCAAGCAGAAGCCAGGCCCTCCTGACATGTAAGCTCCTTGGGTGTTCTGCTGTTGTTCACAGCTGCATTCTCAGCACCAGAACAAGGCCTGGCTGGTGATAGGTGCTCAGTAGATGTTTGTTGAATGAATAAACTTCTCGATGCCAAGGCCCCGTGAGGGACACAGAGACTTGGCATCACTAAGCAGTGGCTGTGTCCCAGAGGGGGTTCTGAAGTGTTCAAGGAGAACTGGGAAAAAATGTGTCACTACCTCTCCATCATCAGATCCTGTTTAACACAGTGAATCTTGTCATTGAGTCAAGCCCAGGACAAAGAGAATTCATAGTTTCTTGGACCCTGGAACATTATCATCTGGACCAAATATACTGATGGGAATGCCCAAATCTTGAACATCTAGATATATCGCCTGATATGTGATAGCAGCAGTGGCTTATTAAGTGTTTACAAACACCACACTGCTTTAAGGACATCATCTTATTTTGTCCTGGAAACAATCCCATGAGATTAGATATTCTTAGAACCTCATTTGGCAGATGAGTAACTGGTCACACAGTTCTAAATGGTAGAGCCGGCAGCTTCAGAGCCGTGATGACGATGATGACGATGATGATGATGATGATGATGATGATTGCTGTCATTGTTACTAACACTCATGCTGCAGCCACCCAGCTGTGTGTGCCAGACCCTTGCAAAGACCCACAAACAGCACCACATGTTCTCTGTCAGAGCTGTGCTCCTAACCGTTGCTCCAACCTGCCTCTAACTGCAGCCAGGCCAGACAAGAAGGGCAGGGTTTCTGTCCTCACACAGATGCCAGAAGGAAGTTCGAGCCTTTCTGTGGTTAGTTTAGGAACTATGTGAATGCCGGAAGGAACAGGTATTATGACCACTGACTTTTCTTCATCCATTTCTCTCATTTCCTCTCAGATTCCCCCAAGGAGGTAACCATGGTGATTCAAAACCCTACACCAATTCGAGAAGGAGACAATGTGACCCTGTCCTGTAACTATGCTTCCAGTAACCCCAGCGTTACCAGATATAAATGGATACCCCTCGGCTCCTGGAAAGAGCTAGTACCTGGGGTGCTAATGATTCAAAAAGTTGCCTGGAATGCCGAACCATTCGCCTGCGCAGCCTGTAACCAGTGGTGTTCGTGGGCTCGCCCTGTCAACCTGCAGGTCCAATGTGAGTGACCCGGGCAGGGGCCTCTGGGAGGTGGCTTGGGTGGGAGATGTTGTTCTAAGGGCGAGGAGGCTAAAGCCTGAACCAGAATCTTTACAGAGAATTGAGGGGATACGAGTCAGACCTCAGCACCAAGGGGAGAGGAGCTCCTGGGGACAGGAAGGGAAAATGGGACCCAAGAAGTCAGACTGAGGCCCTTACTCTCCAGATGCCCCCAGAGATGTCAAGGTCCTGCTGATTAGCCCCCATTCTGAGATTCACTCCGGACACGCAGTCCTCCTCCGGTGTAACTTCTCAAGCAGCCGTCCCACAGATGTCCACTTCTTCTGGAAGAAGAATGGGATCTTTCTGAGGGAGGGAAGAGAACTGAGCTTTGGCTCCATCTCCCCAGAAGATGCTGGAAGTTACAGCTGTGTGGCCAGTAACTCCATAGGACAGAGCACATCCAAGGCCTTGGTGCTCCCAGTGCTGTGTGAGTAGCTGGGCCTGGACCTAAGAGCAGACAAGGGCAGGTAACTGGAGACCTGGGTCCTGATGTAACTTCTTCTTACAGATGCACCTAGGAGGCTATGGGTGTCCATCAGCCCCAAAGACAGCGTGATGGAGGGGAAGAAGGCAGTCCTGACTTGTGAGAGTGATGCCAACCCTCCCATCTACCAATATACCTGGTTTGACTGGAATAACCAGAACCTCCACCATAATCATCGGATGCTGAGACTGGATCCTGTGAAGGTCCAGCACTCAGGCGCCTATTGGTGCCAGGGGTTCAACAAACTGGGTGTGGACCGGTCGCCCCCCAGTACCCTCACTGTCTATTGTAAGGCCCTTCCCTCTTCTTCTCTGGCCTTGGCCACTCCTGTAGTTTTTGCCCTGAGACTGTGCATTCCAGACTACCTACCCCATCTTTCCTCTCCTCTCCCTCCCTATCCTGCCAGGCCAACCTCACCCGTGTGCTCAAAGGCCCTCCCCCTGCACACAGCTCCATGGCTTCCCTCCTCCCGCATGGTCTCTCCTGGCTCTCTCCAGGAGCATTTAGTGGGCAGGCTGCTTCCACCTTCCAGACATCCTGAGCTCTTTCTAGGTACCTCTCTCTGTCTCATCCTTAGTGTTTTTTTTTAAGACCATAAAGTACATGGTAAAAGACTAAAACAGCATGAAAGGGTACAGAGTGAAAATACCTCTCCTTTCTTGCTCCCCAAGAACTCTGCTCTCTCCTTCAAAGCCTTCATTCACTGTTGGCAGCGGTTTACGTCTCCTCAGAGGATTCTGTATGTGCACAGTGTGCATCTATCCATCTGTGTCTACACAGCCTTCCTTACACAAAGGGTAGCAGGGCTCACACTTTGCCCTGAATCTCCCCTCTACCCGCCCCCCTAATCTAATAACACCACCTGGAGAGTGCATACAGAGGGTGTGTGGAAACATAGGGAAAATATTGTATTTATTTATTATGCTTTTTTCAGATTTATAATTGGAGCTATGTTTTTAAATTTAGAGGACCATTGCCTGCAAAACTGCACACTAAAGGGAAGTAGCCTGAGTGTGTTACTTTGAAATGTAACACCGTCTAAACACATGTTCCCTGATTTCCACTTGGCGGGCGCCCTGGAGACCTGTCTCTTTTCCTGAAGGCTATGCCGTATTCCAGTGTGTGAATGCTGCTCAGTGCCCTTCTCACTCGTGTGCAGTCTCTTGCTTGGCACCCCTGCAAGGATAGTTGCAGGACAAACTTCTACATGGAATTGCTGGGTCCAAGGACAATTCTGTGAAGTTCTAGTAGTATGGCCAAGTGCTCTCTGAAGAAGTTGTACTTTATGAGGGTTAGTGCTTTGTGTGTGCTCCTGCCTGTCACAAAGCAGGTCCTCCCAATGGCAGGTCTAGAGAGGGGGCCCAGCTTCCCTCTCTTTGCACTGTGTTCTCACTGGAGGAGGCCACGCAGGACAAAGGACAGGGCTCTACCAAGAGAAGATGAGGATGCCCTCCAAGCAGATGTCCAGGCAGAGTAGGTTGGTGTCTGACTGAGACACTGTCCTCAGTGGAGGGTTCTCCTTTCCCCATCAGACAGCCTGCAGACCATCAGCCGGCGAGTGGCCGTGGGACTGGGGCTGTGCCTGATCATCCTCTTCCTGGCATTCTTGGGAGTCAAGTTTCAGCGAAGGTGAGCTCCTCTCACTGCCCTCCCTTTCTCTTCCTTCAGCTTTCCCTCTGTCCCTCAGCCCATTCCAGGGAATGACTCCTTACTCAGTCCTATAGGTCCAGCTCACCCATTCCACAGGGCCTTCCCCACCTTGCTCCTCACTGAGTGTGTCTTTATTTCTTAGCTGGAAGAGGATTCAGAGCCAGCAAGGGCCTCAGGAAAATTCCAGTGGGCAGAGCTTCTTTGTGAGGAATAACAAGGTAGGATGGAAGAAAGACAAAGTGCAAGCAGACCTGAAGTCAAGCAAAGAAGCAAAATGAAGGGGGGCGATGAAGAGGACTGTGGAGGAACATGGGCTGTCAACCTCCTGGGAAGGGAACTGCGGTGGGGAAAGGAGGGGTGAGAGCTGAAACCCTGTCCCTCATGCAGATTAGAAGAGCCCCCCTCCCTGAAGGCCTCCAGTCCCTGGGCTGCTACAATCCGGTGATGGAAGATTCTATCAGCTATGCGATGCTGCGCTTTCCTGCTGGCGAGACTGACACACCCAGGATTGGGTACCGAGGGGATAGGGAGGGTGACATCTGCATCCTGGGAGGGTTGTGGGAGGAAAAGCCCATGCCCCACCTGCCATCTTTGTCCAAGCCCATGCCAGGCACCACTATGCTCCCATTTCCTCATTCCAACTCCATGACAACCCACCCCTTTGGTAAGTAATGGTCTCGGGAATTGGACCTGCTCCTTCAAGCCAGGAGAACATATGCCCAGAGTCAGTCTCTGCCACCAAGGTTAAGACTGTGGTACTCACTCATTTGACAAATCAGCTCCTGCTGTGAGCATTAGGTGTACACAGAAAGGACTGAGAGGCTGGGGTGCTCTTGGAGTCTAGGGAAGTTAAAAGAAAAGGCAGAATTCATGAGAAATGCTTCATTTGTGATTATCTATCTGCCTTCCCTCTCAGGGATGCAGGGACCCCAGAGGTGCACAGACCTTCCCTAAACAGGGACAACACGGTCACTTACTCTGTGGTGCAGAAGCGGCAAGTGGTAAGAGGGCAGGGTGTGGAAGGAGGGATTGGAGGGCCTGGCCCCGCTGTGAGTCCCAGGTGGGGAGGCTTAGTCTCAGTGGTGTCAAGGCTAGGTGAAGGGAGGTGGCTCAGGCATAGGGCAAGCCCCTTCCACTCTGAGATGCCAACAGCAGCTGATTTCTGAACAAGAGTGTTCCTGCTTAGGCTCTAGAGGCTGTTTCTCCCCTCCCCCCAACCCCCCATGGAGTCAACAAGAGAAAACAGTGGGTCAGTTATGTGGCTTTCTGACCATGATGTGGCTTTCTCAGGGCGACTATGAGAACGTGATTCCAGATGCTCCAGAAGACGATGGGATACATTACTCGGAGCTGGTTCATCTTGGGGTTGGGGAGCGGCCTCTGAGACAGGAAGGAGTGGAGTACGTGACTCTAAAGCACTAATGCATCAAATTGGCTGAGGTGGAGGTGCCTAAGGGCCGTCGGGATAGTCATGGCCCCTGCAGTCCCTGTTGCTTAATCGAGAAGTTACACAACCTCTCCTTACATACATACACACATGCGCACGCCCCCTCCCACACACACACGTACATACGCGTGCACAATTACTGCACCCCAGTCATACAGAGAACTTTGGGCATGGCCCAGAGACAGTCTTCCCTCTCAGCATTGGTAACCTCAACCATCCCAAAGGCCTGGCCCTATCCTTCCCACTCTCCTTCCCTCCCAGAAAGTCATCTGAACACCTAGCCTGCACTGTACAAATCCTCTGCCCCTCCCCAACCATCTGCCACCACCCACCCCCTCCAACACCCACCCCAGCTGTCTGTATCCCTGGGTCAGCTGTCACTAGCTTTTCCTTTTCCCCTCCCCATCCCCTTAACACCCTACCCTCCCACCCCACTCTGAGAGCCCCACTCACTAATCTTAAGCCTAATATATCTGGAGCAAAGTCAAAGGAAGGGACAGAAATGAGGCAGAAAGAGGAACTATCTGGCACTGACTTCTCTCTGTGTCAGGGGTTGGTGGTCTGAGACATACACCAGTGTGAACAAACATGTAACAAGCACAGAGTTGCACAATAAAAATGTCTTGATTATTTCAAAGAATCAGTGAGCTAATTCTGGTCTGTGGAATCAGAGTCGGACAGAGATGTGGGCCGGCCTCATGGATGGGGCTTAAGGAAAAGGGACAGGAGTCAAGGTAATTTCATGATCAAATCAGCAGATTGAAAAGTCTGTTAGCTTGTTTCAAAGAGCCCACTGGCTCTGCCTCTTCTGCTTTCCTAGCCAAGTCACCTTGAGCCTTGGCCATCTGCTTATTTGAGCCTCAGATGGCTCAGTGTAGGAAATGCTGTATAATCTTACATGCTTGAGTCCCATTATGAGAAGCCTTATGCAATAGCTAAAAGTCCCCACACCAAATTCCCATCTTATTTGCATCTCTTGAAGAATGCAAAAAGAGGAAGCCAACCCGTTACAGCTATTCTCAAGAGTGACCCTGCCAAGTTCCTTTTACAATCCAAGCTGCCTAAGAGCTCCTTGAAGGCCAGCTGCCTTGAGAAACCTCTGAGTTTTTCTACCTTCCTCAATCTCTCCACCAATTTCCTCTTGTATTCACCAATTCTGACTTAAGACTGTGGTACTCACTCATTTGACAAATCAGGTCCTTGCGACTTCCCTCCACTTGTCAGGTTTGGTCTCTCCCCTCCAATTCTCTTGCTATGCCAATGGGCAAAGCCCATTCTCTGTAGGAGCAAGAAGGTGTGGTTAATCCACTCTCTTCCCTGTCCCCCTTTCCTCTGCTCAATACTGAAGGCTCTCAAAGAGAAGAGGAGGTTCTGCTCATCCTCAGAATTACAGAATGAGGCACTGATTTATCAGTCTACTTTGCCCTCATTTTATTTTTGTTTTTTTGCACTTTATCTTTTTTGTTGAAAGCAATACTATTCTCTCCCCAGGCCTTCACCACACATTGTCTGTATCCATGGGTTCTGCATATATGCATACAAGTTCTTTGGTTGATCTTCTCCCATCCCTCCCCACTTCCACCCACAGGCTTCCCTATGAAATACTTTAATGACTCCATTTCTATTTTGTTTGTCAGCTTATTTTGTTCATTAGATCATGTGATAATTGTCTTTCTCTGACTGGCTTATTTCACTTAGCATAATACTCTCCAAGTCCTCCATGCTGTCTCCAGGGTAAGATACTCTTCTTTTTATATAGCTGCCTAGTATTCCATGGTATAAATGTACCACAGCCTTTTTATCCACTCATCTGCTGATGGGCACTTGGGCTGTTCCCAAATCTTAGCTACTGTAAACTGTGCTGCTACAAACATAAAAGTTCATATATTCCTTTCCTTTTATTTATTATTTTTTAAAATTTCTTTATTGATTAAGGTATCACATATTTGTCCTCATCCCCCCAATCCCTTCCCTCACCCCTCCCCACTCATGCCCCCACACCCCTATTGTTCTTGACCACTGGTTAGGCTCATATGTGTGCACACAAGTCCTTTGGTTGATCTCTCCCTTTTATCCCCACCCTCCCTCTGAGGTCCAACAGTCTGACCCATGGCTCCTTATTTCTGGTTCTGTTCTTGTTCATCAGTCTATGTTGTTCACCATTTCCCCAGATGAGTGAGATCATGTGCTACTGGAAATGTACTTATAAGAACCGAAAACGAGATAAGCAGTAATCGTTATGCTGAGAGGCAAATGAATCAGTCTGTAGTGAGTGTTTTTCTGGGCCAACAATTCTTTTGAGACCCAATTTCAATGTCAAACAGTTCGTTATGTGTATATGTCAGCAATGATATTTCAGTTCTGTATATTCCTTTCTGATTGGTGTTTCAGGCTTCTTAGAATACATTCCTAGAAGTGGGATCACTGGGTCAAATGGCAGTTCTATTTTTAATCTTTTTTAAATATATTTTATTGATTTCAGAGAGGAAGGGAGAGGAAGAGAGAAACAGAAATATCAATGATGAGAGCGAATCATTGATCAGCTGCCTTCTGCATGCCCCCCACTTGGGACAGAGCACAACCCCAGCATGTGCCCTGACCTGGAATCAAACAATGACATCCCGGTTCATAGGCTGATGCTCTAACACTGAACAACACTGGCTGGTCTATTTTTAATATTTTGAGGAAACTCCACACTGTTTTCCATAGTGGTTGTACCAGTCTGCATTCCCAGTGTATGATTGTTCCTTTTTCTCCACCTCCTTGACAGCATTTGTTGTTTGTTGATTTATTGATGATAATCATTCTGGCAGGTGTGAAGTGGTACCTCATTGTTGTTTTAATTTGCATCTCTCTGATGATTAGTGATGTTGAGCATTTTTTCATATGTCTCTTGGCCATTTGTGTGTTCTCTTTGGAGATGTGTCAATTCAGGTCTTCTGTCTTCCTTGGATTGGATTGTTTGTCTTCCTTTTGTTGAGTTGTGTGAGTACTTTATATATTTGGAAATTAACCCCTTACGTATCATTGGCAAATATGTGCTCCTATGCAGTGGGTGCCTTCTTCATTTTGATGCTGGTTTCCTTTGCTTTACAGAAGCTTTTTAGTTTGATATAGTCTCATTTGTTTATTTTTTCTTTGTTTCTCTTACCCTAGGCCAGTGGTTGTCAAACCGTAGCTCGCGAGCCACATGCAGCTCTTTGGTCCCTTGAGTGTGGCTCTTCCACTAAATGCCACGCGCATACAGTCCAATTGAAACTTCGTGGCCCATGCACAGAAGTACAGTTTTCGGCTCTCAAAAGAAATTTCAATAGTTGTACTGTTGATATTTGGCTCTGTTGACTAATGAGTTTGCCGACCACTCCCCTAGGCAATATATCTGTGAAAATTCTGCTACATGAGATGTCTGACATTTTGTTACCTATGTTTTCTTCTAGGATATTATGATTTATGACTTTGTATTATATTTTTTTTAGTTTATTCTTAAGTATTTTATCCATTTTGAGTTTATTCTTATGTGTGGTGTGAGTTGATGGTTTAGTTTTTTTTTTGTTTGTTTTGTTTTTGCATGTACCTATCCAATTTTCCCAACACCATTTATTACAGAGACTATCTTTACTCCATTGTATTCTCTTGCTTCCATTGTCAAATATTAATTGAACATAGTGGCTTAGGTTGATTTCTGGGTTCTTTGTTCTGTTTCATTTATGTATATGCCTGTTCTTGTGCAAGTACTAGGCTGGTTTTTGTTGTTGTTGTTTTTTGTTTTGTTTGTTTGTTTGTTTTAAAATATATTTATTGATTTTGTACAGAGAGGAAGGGAGAGAGATAGAGAGTTAGAAACATCGATGAGAGAGAGTCATCGATTAGCTGCCTCTTGCACACCCCCTCCGGGGATATGCCCGCAATCAAGGTACATGCCCTAGACCGGAATCAAACCCAGGACCCCTCAGTCCCCAAGCCCACGCTCTACCCATTGAGCCAAAGTGGTCTCAGCTTGTTTTTGTTTTTGTTAATTAGGAGCCATTTATTGCATTCGGCCCAGAGGGAGGTGTTTCTTCCAAATCTCTGAGTGAAGACGCAGAGAAAGTTTTCTATATTTATACCTCTTGGGCTCTTTGCTGATTTTACAGAGTTCTGTGTGAGTTATTGTTACAGCTTGTAATCTTGGGTACATAAAGAACAAACATTTGGCTTAAGAATATGGGAGTTATTAGCAGTATTAGTCCATTATTTTATTTTATTTTTTATTTTTTAAAATATATTTTATTGATTTTTTACAGAGGAAGGGAGAGAGATAGAGAGCTAGAAACGTTAATGAGAAAGAAACATCGACCAGCCGCCTCCTGTACACCCCCCACCGAGGATGTGCCCACAACCAGTGTACATGCCCTTGACCAGAATCGAACCTGGGACCTTTCAGTCCGCAGACCTACCGCTGAGCCAAACCGGTTTCGGCTTAGTCCATTATTTGAGATGGCTATCTTGCAAGTTCAGACCGTTGTTTTTATATTTTTCTATTATTTAAACTAAAAGTTATTTTATGAAATAAGAGACGAGCTAAAAATGACAGTTTTCAGAACAAGGGACTATCTAACAATTGCAGATAATTTCAAACAGGAGTTTTTATAGAAGATGGAGTTTACTATCTTCAAAACAAGGTGCAAAGCTGCCATTCTCGGAGCATTTTCTCAATCCGTTATCAACAGTTTGGCCTAAATAAACACACAAAGATTCTTCACAGGTTTGTATGTTTCCCAGTTAACACAGACATGAAGACAGAAGCATCTGGCTTTCCTTAGGCTGCCACAGGAGGAATGCGGGGTGGTTTGCAGTTGGGATTGTTTTGTAATCAGAACTTTCAGCCAGGTGATCAGGAATGCCTGTCTATTTTCAGGGGAGCAAGAAATTCTAATCTCAGCTAATCATTCATAAAACAAAGGCAGGAAGTGGGGTGTGTGGGGGGGGGGGGAGG